GAGGAGGATTAGCATGGATGTTAGTTCAGGGCTGGTCTTCCTCTCCAAAAAAAAAAAAAAATCTTGTAGATGGATAGTCCATTTTCTGATGGCCTTTTATTTCCTTAGACTAAGTTAATTCCATCCCTTTCCTCTTCCGCTTTTAAGTTATTATTGTCACAATTTATTCCACCTTGTGTTGTGAATTTGTGTTTAAAGTGATGAGGTTAACTTTATTTTTGTTTTCCTTCCCTTAATCTTTAATGTTACAATTCTTTGCTAACCTATTCTGATGGAAAGTTGCAATTTTTCTGATTTTGTCTACCTTTTTTCTCCTTGCTTAAAGGTTTGTATCCCCTTTCTCTCTTTTTTTCAGGCATCAGGGACTTCTTGAGCATTTCTTGTAGTTGGGTTCTTGTGGCTATGAACTCCCTTACCTTTGGTTTATCTGGGATTGTTATTTTTTCTCCATCATATCTGAAAGATATTTTCACTTGATAGAGTATTCTTAGCTGAAAGTTTTTGTCTTTCAGAATTTTGAAAATATCACTCCACTCTCTTCTAGCTTGGAGAGTTTCTGCCAAGAAATTGACTGAGAGCATGATTTGGATTTCTTTGTACATTAATTTTTTTTGTCTTGCTGTTCTTAACATGTCTTCTTTGTCATTGATTTTTGCCACCTTTACTACTGTATGCCTTGGAGAGGGTTTTGTTGTATGTTGATGTATTTAGGAGATCTATTGACTTCATTCACTTGTATTTCTAGCTCCTTCCCCAGGTTTGGGAAGTTCTCAGCTATTATTTCTTTCAACAAGGTCACTGCTTGTTTTTCCCTCTCTTCTCCCTCTGGAATACTTATCCTTAAGTTACATGTCCTAATTGGGTCAGATAGTTCTTGGCGAATGTCTTCATTTCTTTTTAGTCTTACTTCTCTCTCCTCCTCCATCTGGAGCATTTCTGCATTACTATCCTCAGTAATGCTAATTCTTTCTTCCATATTGTCGACAGCTCTGTTCTTTAAAGAGTCCCAATTTTTCTTTATCTCCTCCACTGTGTTTTTTATCTCCAACGTTTCTTTTTTTTTTAATTTTATTTATGTATTTATTTTCCCCCCAAAGCCCCAGTAGATAGTTGTATGTCATAGCAGCACATCCGTCTAGTTGCTGTATGTGGGACGCGGCCTCAGTATGGCAGGACAAGTGGTGCGTCAGTGCGCGCCCGGAATCCGAACCCCGGCCACCAGCAGTGGAGCACGCACACTTAACCGCTAAGCCACGAGGCCAGCCCATCTCCAACGTTTCTGATTATTTTTTATTGATAGTTTCAGTCTCTTTTGTGAAGAAGTTCCTGATTTCATTGAATTGTCTATCCGTGTTCAGTGAGCTTTTTATGATAGTGTTTTGAATTCTCTGTCACTTGGGTTATAAATTTCTGTGTACTTCAGCATTGATTTCTGGATGCTTGTCATTTTCTTTCTGGTCTAGAGATTTAATATATTTTTGCACACTGCTTGACGGCATGGGCTTATTTTCCCTCATTCTGAATATGTCTGCTCACATCTTCCTCTTGCTGGCACTAGGTGGGGTTTGAGAGCTGTGTATTCTGATCCTGCTGTGATCTGCAGGTGCTGTGGCCAACCAGTTGTTCTGGTACACTGGGTCGGGGAGAAGGGGCTCTTTCTTTCCATTGCCTGATCACAAGGGCTTCTCATACTTCCCTTGCTATCTGCTCTTCTGGGGTGCCAGCTTCATGGATGCACTCCTGCAACAGTTCAGTCCCCTCCATATGGGACTTTCCCACATGCTATGAGAGAACTTGAAGAGTGACAGTTTTCCTGTGGAGGACCATCCCTCCCCATCTCTCTCTGAGTGCCACACAGACCTGGTCCCAGTGTCACTATCATTCAGGAAGAAGAAGAGTTCTCCTTACCTCTGTCACTTCCTCTGGGGGTTCCAGTACCTCCACCTTCAGACATATGGCTGTGTGAGTCAATTAGATGTATTTTGTGTTGTGTGAACGTCCTCTGTTGGTATATGAACGTCCTTTTTCTTGTATCTTAGTGGGGAGAGTCTACAGGGAAATCTCACTCCACCGTGAAGCTGAAGTCACTCTGAACCATGATTCTTGTTTTTTTTTTTTTTCAATTTGTTAGTGTGCTTCATGTCTCAGAATGTGGTTTGTCTTGGTGAATGTTCCATGAACTTGAGAAATATGTAGATTCTGCTGTTGTTATATTCTATAGATTTGAGTGAAATCCAGTTGTATATTCCACAGATGACAAGGAAATCCAGAATGTATATTCTCTTGTTCAAGTATTCCATAGATTACAATGAAATCATGTTGTTTCACAGTGCTGTTCAGTTCACCTCTGTCCTTTCTCATTTCCTGCCTACTGGAATTTATGTTTTGTGATAAGGCCATGTTAAATTCTATAGCTATATTAGAGGATTCATATTTCTCCTTGCATTCTATTAGTTCATGCCTCATGTGTTTTTCCCCTCTGTTATGCAGGTACACAGGAAGTATTTCTGTTACTTCTTGGAGAATAGACCCCTTTATTAGTATCTAATGTTACCCTCTATCTCTGAATTTTTCTTTGTTTGAATCTGCATTGTTTATAATTTATACACCAGTGGCATCTTTCGATTAGAGTTGGCATGGTCTATTTTTCTCCATCCCTTTACCCTTCATCTATTGCTGTTTTATATTTAAAGTGGATTTCTTGTAGATAACATATAATTTTGTTTTTTGAAATCTGATTTTACTGTGTCTTTCAGTTGCATCAAGACCCCTGATTAAAGAGGATATTGATACAGTTGGATTAATATTTACCATAACTTTTACTGCTTTCTACTTTTACCCTCATTGTTTTCTTTCTTTTTGTCTTCCACTTTTTTCTCTCTTGTCTTGCTGAAATTGAGCATTTACTCTGATTCTGTTTTTTCTTCTGTCATAGCATATCAGTTACACATTTTTGAAACAACATTTTTTAGTGGTTGCCTTTGAGTTTTCAGCATATGTTTACAACTCACCCACCTCATCTGCCAAATAGCAGTACACCACTCCACTCTTGTGCAAGTACCTCTTAATACACTATTCCCCGTTTCCCCCTCCCTGTCCCTTGTCACATTGCTGTCATTTATTTCACTTGTGCATAAGCTTCTCATTACCAAATACATTGTTGCTAATGTTATTTTAAACGAAGTGTCATCTGTTATATTAATTATAAACATATAGAAGTTATTTTTCTAATCCTATACCTTTTTCATTTACATACTTTCTGGTAATTTTTGAACATTTCATTCAAAGTGGGTGTACTCATGACAAATTTCCTCAGTTTTTGTCTCAGAAAGTCCTTATTTCTCCTTTATGTTTGAAGGAGAATTAGGCTTGACAGAGAATTCTAGGAGAGTGGATTTTTGTTTTCATAACTTGAAATATTTCACTCTACTCTGTTCTTGCTTGCATGGTTTTGAAAAGAAGTCCAATTTAATTCAAGTTTTGTTTCTTTATTCCTAAGATGCGATTCTTTGGCATTTCTCAATATGTTTTTGTCTTTGATTTTTCTCTAGTTGAAATATGATATCCTTGGGTGTGCACTTTTGTAGTTTGTCATGGTTAGTGTTCTCTGAATTTCCTGGATGTACAGTTTACCAGCTGTCATTAATTTTAGAATATTTCGATAACTATTTCGTCACTTCTTCTGTTTCTTTCTTTGTTGTTTTTTAGGTATTCCTATTATGTATTTTAAACCTTCTGTTATAGAGTGTTGTCTTAGACTTCAAGGATATTGTCTTCTGTCTTTTTTGTTCTTTTTGTCTTTGCATTAGCCTCTGGGGAAATAGATCATTTGTTTAGTACAGGTCTTGTTAAGAAAATATCTGGTGCATATTTCAAAATGCCATCTGTTTTTTTGTCTTGCCCAATTTTGGAGACTCCAGTTTGCCCTATGACCTCAAGGCTATCATGGATCTAAGAAGAATTGTTTAAGTTCATTCATTTTCTCCTTGGGAGATCAAGAATGACAGTTTCTATGTTTCTTGAGTGTGGGATCAGAAGCTGGCAGGCTGTCATCTAGAGTGCATAGTCGGGAAACACCTCCTCTTGAACTTGGAGAATAGAACTTTTATGTTCTTTTGCAAGAAAGCACTGTTAAATCCTTCATTTATTTTATAATCATGGGCAAATTTACCATCAAACCTTTGTGGAATTCAGTGCACTCCTTTGCAATCTGTAGCTCTTAACCTGCCCCTCAAGGGCAGCAAGGCTCAAGGTACACTGTTAGTGTTGGAAACAGCTCTGGAAAGAGCTGTTCTGACACATGGTTATCTCACTATGCATTCTAAAAATTGCTGGGAAGTTTCCTTGAGGAACCGGAGTATAGGTATTTTATGGTCTAATTTGTCATGCCTTCTTCCTTGTGTCTGAACTCTATGTTCTAGATAACTTTCTGGACCCATCAATTCATACAGAAAAGAATAACTGAATATGGAAAATATTACACAATTTAAAAGCAGTGCTTCACTACAAGAATGTTTATATTCAGTCATCTGCCTCTGATTACTCGTAGTGGACTGGATTACTTTAGGACAATGTGATCAGCTGGGGTTTGTTAAAAGTTTACTTTCTACAGGCCTCTTGGATTCGCTGTTTGGTGATAGGAATAGACAAAAAAGCTTCCAGTTGTTCAAGGTGTTTTAATTCATTGAAACCTCAGGCAGATTTGACTCTGCCTCATGGAGTGCTGTAACTGTGGGTAATAAGAAAGAAGATGAAAGAGTTTTTCTCACAAGGAATCATGTTATATAAAATGATAATTGTTTGATTTCTATAGCATTTTTACCATTTCCCAAAATGCCATGGACCCTGCCATTATAGAGAAATACAGTGTAATGTGATCACAGTAAATTTCCATGTCTTAGTAATGCAGTGAAATTGGTGAGGAAGTCTGTACAGAAAAGCAGTGAGGTTTTGATGATGATAGCATAAAATAAATGTTTGGAAATGACAGAATCACGCGTAACATTTCTACAAATGGAGAACAGATCCCCAGTGCTGTCAGTCTCATGCGTCCTACTCTACACATATTTGTGATGTTTTAGGACTCAGTGGCCATTGAGGATGTTGCTGTGAACTTCACCCCAGAGGAGTGGGCTTTACTAGATCCTTCACAGAAGAAACTCTACAGAGATGTGATGTGGGAAACCTTCAGGAACCTAGCCTCAATAGGTAAGAATGAGGACATCCCTTCATCAAGTAGAGAACAAATGTTTCTTGCCCATCAACATGGTTCCCACGTGCCGGCCCCGTGGCTTAGTGGTTAAGTGCGCGTGCTCTGCTGCTGGCTGCCTGGGTTCATATCCCGGGCGCGCACCGATGCACTGCTTCTCCGGCCATGCTGAGGCTGCATCCAACATACAGCAACTAGAAGGATGTGCAGCTATGACATACCACTATCTACTGGGGCTTTGGGGGGAAAAAATAAATAAAAAAGGATAAGTACATATTTAAAAAAAAAAGCATGGTTCCCAGATGTAGAATGTAGAAATGGGAGATGTTGGTAAATAAACTAGAAGTGATCTTAGCTCGTCATTGTCTTAGAATCCATAATTTTTTCTATAATTTCTAATACTTGGAAATCAACTGTCTGGGTCTGCATTTCAGGAAAAACCTGGGAAGATGATGATATTGAAGTTAAGTACACAAACCAGGGGAGAAAATTAAGGTGAGTCACACTCTCAATAGAAAGCAGTGTCTCATGTTAGAATACCGATTTGTTAAGAAATTTTAAAAGGAAGCAAAGCAAATAACCCTTGCTTCAAATTTAACTATCCCAGAAAATTTTCACCAAATATAGTTTTTGAAACGTAATGTAGATGTTCAGTTATTACAAAACAATTCACTTGGAAAGTATGAATAAACCCTATATATTAATATCACTGTTTGGATAACAGGAAGCATGAAGTTCTCTTGCAGAGCATTCAGTATATTCAATTTCTAAGAATTGAGACAAGACCAAACCCCAAAACTTTTCCTATAAATCATAATAAATATAATAAATGTAAAATCATTAATAAAGAAGTCATTAATAATGTACTTCTCACTTTTTACAGAAATCATATGGTACAGAGGCTCTGTAAAAGTGAAGAGGGTAGTGTATGTCAAGAAAACATCAACCTAAATCCAAATCTCAATCTGAACAAGAAAACTACAGGTGCTAAACCATGTGAATGCAGTGCATGTGGAATAGTCTTCATGCATCATTCATCCCTTAAAAGGCACATTAGATGTCACACTGAACACAAACTATCTGATGACAAAAAATATGGAGGGGAGCCATATAAATGTAAGGTCTGTGGAAAAGTCTTCCCTTTTCATAGATCTCTTCAAATACATGAAAGAACTCATACTGGAGAGAAAACCTATGAATGTAAAACATGCAGTAAAGCATTCATTTTTTCCAGTTCTCTTCGAGTACATGAAAGAATTCATACTGGAGAGAAACCCTATGAATGTAAGGAATGTGGGAAAGCCTTTATAAGGCACTCACTTCTCCGCTCACACATGATCTTTCACACTGGAGATGGACCTTATAAATGTAAGGAATGTGGGAAAGCCTTCATTTTTCCCAGTTTTCTTCAAATACATGGAAGAACTCACACTGGAGAGAAAGCTTATGAATGTAAAACATGTAGAAATACATTCACTTCTTCCAGTTCTCTTCGAGGCCATGAAAGAATTCATAGTGGAGAGAAACCCTTTGAGTGTAAAGTATGTGGTAAAGCCTTTAGGCTTTCAAGTAGTCTTCAACAACATGAAAGAACTCACACTGGAGAGAAACCCTATGAATGTAAAAAATGCAATAAAGCATTCATTTATCCTGGTTCTCTTCTAAAACATGAAAGAAATCACACCGGAGAGAAACCCTATAAATGTAAAAAATGCAATAAAGCATTCATTTTTCCTAGTTCTCTTCTAAAACATGAAAGAAATCACACTGGAGAGAAACCCTATAAATGTAAAACATGCAGTAAGTCATTCACTTCTGCCAGTTCTCTTCAAATACATGAAAGAAATCACACTGGAGAGAAACTCTATGAATGTAAAAAATGCAATAAAGTGTTCGTTTATCCTAATTCTCTTCTAAAACATGAAAGAAATCACACTGGAGAGAAACCCTATAAATGTAAAACATGCAGTAAGGCATTGACTTCTGCTAGTTCTCTTAAAATACATGAAAGAATTCATACTGGAGAGAAACCCTATGAATGTAAAAACTGCAGTAAAGCATTCACTTCTTCTAGTTATCTTAGACAACATGAAAGAATTCATACTAGAGAGAAAACGTATGAATGTAAAAAATGCAATAAAGCATTCAATTTTTCCTATTCTCTTCAAATACATGAAAGAATTCATACTGGAGAGAAACCCTATGAATGTAAAAAATGCAGAAAAGCATTCACTTCCTCCAGTTCTCTTCGACAACATGAAAGAATTCATGCTGGAGTGAAACCCTATGAATGTAAAAAGTGCAGTAAAGCATTCATTTTTCCAGGTTCTCTTCAAGTACATGAACGAATTCATACTGGAGAGAAACCGTTTGAATGTAAAAAATGCAGTAAAGCATTCACTTCCTCCGGTTCTCTGCGACAACATGAAAGAACTCATACTGGAGCAAAACTCTATGAATGTAAAA